ATAAATTAATTAATTATTAAAAAAGGGTGCGCAAAAAAAAAAAAATGTTTTGTTATATATATGAATTAATAATAAATTGTAAAATTAGATGAACCGAGTAATAATAATAATAAATAAATAAATAAATAAATAAATTGAAAATAATAATAATAAAAATATTATTTGAATGAAATTTTTCATTTTTTTTCGTTTTAATTAATTAATTAATTATTTTCGCGGGTTTTTTTTTTTTAAATGAATATAAACTTATATGATTGTCTAAGCCATATATTCGACATTTTTTTTTTTAATATACATTATGAAAGAGAGTTAAAAAAAAGAGAGAAAAATGTTTATGTAAAGTAGAGAAAGAGAGAGAGAGAGACTTAATTTAAATAATAATAATAATTTTTTTTTTAATAACAAAAATTATATATATATATATATATTATTTTATGAGGTATTATAAAACGTTCTACTACGCTATAATTTCAGATCTGCCGATACATAAATATTTATTTATTTATTATTTTGCTGCCACGTTTTTTGTTTAAAATAAAATTTTTTTTTAAAATAGGTTTCCCTGATTGATTTTCACGTGCGATTAGAACGTGTGCCACGAAACCCAATAAAACTTTTATAAATTTAAATATTTGTGTGTGTAGTACAAAATATATATATAAAAAAAAAAAAATAACCGGGTACTTAGGCTAACTACACTTTTTAAACGGCACTTGTGAGTGAGTGCTTTTTTTTTTAACTACATATTATTCACATTTAGCACTTTTTATAATAATAATAATAATAATATTATCAACATGATTGAGTACTCGTTTATTGGCTCGGATTCTGCGTAAAATTTTTTTTTTTTTTTTTTTTTTTTAAAGCAAATAACCTATTATTATTATTTTAATTAAAATAATGTGTCATTATTGTCATTATTGCTATGATTTGTTGTTTGTATTGTTAAATTGTAGGTCGGGTAACGTGGCAAGAAACCACCCGTTATAACGGTGTGTTCGCTGTCATCTTTATCTCGTATGTTTATGTTTGTGTCGGATGTGATCAATGCTTCTTCGAAAGTAGGAGATGCTACAAACGCAAACAAACAAAACAAAATCGTAAGTAGATGAAATATATTTTTTTTAAAAATGGTTATGTTATGAAAACACTCACGTATCGAGGGATACAATCCGTTTTTGTTGTCTTGTCCGAAATTCCATCCGATTCCGGTTCCATTTGACGATGGCTCAGTCTTTCCATCTTTTACCGGAATTATACCGTCGACGATACCGGCTGGAGGAGCTGAGGGTGGAGCTGCTAATGGAACCGTACCGAAAATTATAGGCGCTTTAAAATGTAACCCCCTGTAAAAAAGACCAGGGATGCTCACGTCTACCTGCAAGAAAAAAAAAATCCCCCATTTTTTTTTAGAATTTCCCTTCGCAAAAGAGGATCAAATATGGATTGAATTTTTTTAGACTTTTTACCTTTATTTCGTATTTGACGTCCATAATTTTACAATTTTTTAAATTAGATGGAGGTAATGCAGGAACAATTAAATTTTCCGTCCATTTGTTTGACGAATGAGCTCCGACAACTCCCAATTTAATTTCTGTTATGTTCGTTTTATCGTATTTCGTGTAGACCGAGGGATAATCGGATTTATATGAAACAATCTTTAAACAAAAATATTAAAAAATTTAAATCATATAAATCATTTCTTTATTCCATATATGTATATGTTTACCTTCAATAAAGTACAAAATCCAGGTTCTGTATTTTTTTCAGACATGTTTTCAATTTCCAACGAAACTGGAATCGTTTGGCCGCTGACGAAACCCGATACAGGCACTTGCAAAGTAGCTGATATTGGTCCTGATCTACAGCATAAAAATCCGACGAATTTTTCTTTGTGAACATTAATGGGTACCTAAAATTAAATATTAAAAATCTTTTTTTATTATAATTTCGTGATAAATTTCGCAATCATCACACAAAGTGAATAATCAAAGAAATTTTTTTTTTTTTTTTACACAATTTTTAAACAATGTTCGTGCCGATCCAAAAAAAAAAATTAAATTAAAAATTAAATTTCAAACGAAATCAATATAATTATCAATTAAATTACTACTTACGATTTGTAATTGGCATTAAATAACAAGTGATAAAAAAAAAAAAAATGATTTCACTGAAACAATGAAATTTAAAATTAAAAAAAAAAAAATTTACTAGGTCAGACGTTTTTTTTTTCTTTAAATCGCAGTAATATCACTTAAAATATTATACATTTTTTTTAAATGTTAAAAAAAAAACCTTCAAATTTCACATAAACTTCCTAATTAAATATATTTAATAAATAAACTTGTAAAAATTTAAAGTTTTTGAGTAAAATTTCATATTTGTGGAAAATTCCAGTTAGAATTCGATAAAAAAAAAAAAAAACATTTTTTTCTTAGCAAGATTTAAATTGAAATTGTCAATGTTTCATTATAAGGACTTGATAATTTTTATTTATAGACTTTGTTAGTATAAAATAAAATGTACATTTATATGTGTGGGTGTGTTTGCTGTTAGTTAAAATGAGTGTTACAATTAGCACACAACAAAATAATTTATAGCATGCATGATTTTAAATGAAATTTTGTATAGAAAAAAAAAATGAAGTTTTCATATTACCTTACTTTCTGGAACTTTGTTTAAATCTAATGGTGATATAACAGTAAATGCAGATTTACACTCTTGATCAAATTTCCAAGGAATTCCTATAATTGCTTTAACTGTATAACGAACATAACCGAATTGACTTTCAAATGAAGAAGGCAGTGATTCTGGTAATTGAGCAGAAAAGTTGTATGCATGAGAGCCAGCAGGGAGTATTATTTCATCTCCTAAGTAATAGAAAAGCATACTATAAAAATAAAAATTTTGTTTTTTTTAAATTCAATTCACAATATTTTTACCTCCAGAGAGCACTACAAATGAATTTTCAAAATATTTTTCACTGGATGTATATTCGACTTCTCTCGTTTCGTCATTTCCTGTACTATCTTTTACTGTTTCAAGTTCAGACCATTTCACTTCAGCTTCACCCTTTATTTTTATTGAGATGTCTAAAATTTTAAAAAAGTTCAGAATTTTTAATATGAACAAATAAAAATTTAAACTCTTAAATAAAAAACAACAAACTTTTTCTTATCAAACGATTTCAGAAAAGAATAAATATAACTAAAACTAAACAACTTTAAATATAATTTTTTACAAAAAAATCAATTAAAAATTTTAGGGATACAATCTTAAATTAAAATTTATCATTATTAATATTCAATTGTAAGATTTTTAATACAAAACCATAGTACCGACTGACTTAAAAACTTTGTTTTTTGATAAGTCGATGAAAATTTTTGACTCTACATATGTGACCTCTAAAAATTACTAAAAGTCATTAAAATTATTTTAATATTAATTTTTTTTGATTTTTTAAAAATTGGTAATCAAAAAAAATTAATATTTCCATTTTCAAATTACTATTCATTTATAATTTAAATAAAAATACTTGACCTACTTAAAATTTGTTTTTTTTTTTTTTTTTTTTTTTTTTTATATATATAAAACAAGTGTTTTTATATTACTTAACCTTTAATTTTTTTAGGTGCATCGAGATTCAGCATCAATTGTCCTGCAACAGTACCACCGACGTAATATGTCGCCCAGGGATTATCAAACGTAATATCGAATTCTTTCGTTTCCATTATTAAAATTACGGTAACAAATTTTTGAATGAGTGAAAAATCTGCTCTACTGACAGGTATTCTTACTATTAAAATGTAATTAGTGGGAGTTGTCTCAGCTGAGACTCCATTCAGGAATTTTATCATTTTCACCAATAGGATTTAGTTAGGAATGGTTTAAGAAAATTGCAAAATTTTTCTTCTGCTAAAAATATCCCAAGTTAATTAAATATTATCAATGTCTCTCATTGGGTAGGCATATTACTCATGTAATTTTCAATTTCATTTGGAATGAAATTTAAAATTAAAAATTATTTGTTATCGATGGAAATAAAATAAAAAAACAATTTTTTTTTTAATAATAATAATTTTATTTTATTTTATTTTTACAGCTTTTCTCGTTAAATTCAGTAATACAAAATAAAAATATTCTCTTATGAAGAATTTAGATTACAAAGTAAAACAAAAAATTTGGATATTTTATTTATTTAAAAAAAAATAATAATAGGATTTTAATAAATTTTAAATTTAATGTAAAATTACATAATACATTTATTAGAAAAGAGATTTGTACTTTATCTAAAAATTGACAATAACTATTTTTTGACAAAAAAATTATTACGTAACGACGTTTCGACAAATATTAATTTTAATACACAGACCACGTCACGATGCTATAAGAAACATTTGTTAGTTTAGGTTGGTACCACTGATATTCCCTGCGGCTGTGCTGTAATAAAAATCGTTAAATTTTCAGTAGGTTTTTCAATCTCTTACTGGTGAATTTAATATCTGATTTTTTCAATTCTTTTTTTTGTGATTAAAATAAAATAATATTGTGCAAAGGTAAGATATTTAACATTTAAATTATTTACATTTCACCATTTAAATTATTTTATAGTGATATTTAAAAAAAAAAAAAAAATGTATCAAGCTGCTGTTTTATTCCCTCCCTTTGATCTGTCATTTTTAACATTAGATTTTTTTAGCCATCTATTTTAAGTGCAGTGCAAATTTTTTTTTTTTTTTTTTTTTTTTATGAATTTCAAATAAAATAATTATTATAAAATTATGTCAGTGTCAGTGATTATAATTGATTAAAAATTTTTTATAATTTTTTTTTTAATATTAAATTTGTAAACCTGACAGGAGAATTGGTTTAATGAAGATTCACACAAAGATTTTTACATAGAATAAGAAAAATTAAGGAAAAATGAAATTAATTTTTCTATTTCATTCGATAACAGATCAAAACATAATTTTAAAAATGTTTATATATATATTGTGTTGTAGGTCATTGTTTTTAATTATGTTTCTAATTTAAAATTCTTTTTTTTTTTTTTTTCAGGAGGTTTAAAGTAGATAGAAACATTCAACAGAAAATAAAATTAAAATGGCTTTTGCAGGATTAAAAAAGCAGATTAACAAAGCCAATCAGGTAAGTCCGTGTTTTATATTTAAATTTTTTTTTTTGTTCTTTTTTGAAATATAATTATGGTATTAAATAAATAATAAAATAATTTAGCTACATAATTATTTTAATATTATTCAAAATTCAAAATGCAATACTTTATTTTGTATTGCTTTTTTTTTTTTAAATTATTGATTCGTTTTGTTTTTTAAACATAACGAAACTTTTTTTTTTCGATAATTGCATTTATAAAATTCATAAATAAATATTAAAATAATTATTATGGTTATAAAGATTAAATGCATGAAAACAAAAAAAAATCATATAAATAACTGCCTATAGATATGGTGTTTCCTTTTTAATTCGTTTAAAAAAATTCTTTTTTTTATCTTTAAATTATTATTTTTTATTTAAAAAAAAAATTATTACTTAAAATTGAATAAGAAACTCGATGGATTCATTGAATTTTATCTTTTCTTTTGCCTTTTTATCTCTTTTCTTAACTCTCATCTTTCTCATTCACAAAATTTTATATTTTAAAACATCCTACACAAATTATCTTAATTTTTGAATGAACGCCCCCCCCCACCCTTCCCTTTAACAATTTGCACAAAGGTAATATTTATAAATTCTTAATTTATTACTTTAACTTTTTTTTAATATTTTATTTTTTTTTAATGTTCTTTACAAAAATTCACAATTATTTTGGGGGGGGGGAGAACTTTATTAATATGAGAATTTATTTTAATTTTAAACGTGGTTTGATTCATCCCCATTTAAATGACCCTTAAAGATTACAAAAAAAAAAAGCAGAAGTTACAAATCCATGGTGTTAAAAATTTTTTTTTTTTTTTATCGATTTTTAACTTATATGTACAATTTTAAATTTAAAATTAATATCGTGGTTGTAGATAAAATCAAAATTTAGTTGTTTCTTCTTTCTTTTTTTTTTGCCTTTTTCTCAAATTCGTTTTTAAAAAAGTCAAAGGGGAAAACACACTCACATCCTTTTTCTTATCATTTATCAAAATTAATTATTATCATTCATTTTTCCCGTGTCATTCATAAATAATTTTTAATTACCCAAATTAATAATTAATACAATAAAGAAAAAAATTTTCTTTGCTAATTTCATTCACATGCTTTTATTTATTTATTTATTTTTTTTGTATTTTGAGTATTGAAAATTTTCACGATTATTATTATTATTATTTCTTATTTTATCAATTTAATTCATTTATCGGATTTTCATTTAATATTAAGCTTTTCCGTATTTCATATTAACAAAAAAGAACCTATTTATTTATTTTTTATATTTCTTTTCCGGAAATTGTTTGTTTGTTTTCTCATAGTTTTCCGTTTTTCACTCAATCATCTAAAAAATCATTCTTTTCATTTTAATTTTAAGAACTTTCCTTCCTTTTATTTATTTAATTTTCCAATGCAAACCTTTCACGAATTGTATTGGTTTTCTTGTTACCACCTTCAAGTACCTTTAGGTATATAATTTATTAAAAAATGATTATTTTGTTTATTGGTATATGCAATTAATTAACTACTATCTGTACTATTGTTTTTTTTTTTGAAAAATCGGCCTTGTCCTTATTTAATATTCACTTTTTATTTTTTTATTCGTGCTTTTTTTAAATTTTCCTTTAACCATTGTTACAATTTTCCGCGTAATCTTAATTTAAAAAAATTTTATTCGAAAAAAAGGAGGAAAGGAAAATGCTTCTTAAATTCTTTCACATGTAAAGATTAAAAAAAAAAAAAAAATTTTTTGTTTTCATTCCTTTAAGATTTTTTTTATTTTATTTTATTTTTTTTTGATTAAATAATAATAATAAATTATTTTTCTTTTTCCATTCATTCATTCATTCATTCATTTATATATAAAAAAGACTAATTATCGGTTAAGTAGCGTAAAAGGAATTTAAAAGAAAAGAAAAAAGGAATCATTTTGTTTTGTTTTATTTGTTGTTTTGTAACGATGACATTTTTTATTTTTTTTTTATGTAAAAAGTAGTAGTGTGGATTATTATTATTATTATTATTTTTACAAAAGGTTAAAACAAAGTTTGCACGATGATTGTGTTATGTTGGGGATTATGATACCCATTCGAAAAATATTTTAATTAATTTTTATAAGTTTAATATAAGAAAAAAAAAAAAAATTTAAGAAATTTACAGTGCAGACGACATTAAACTGTTTTTTTTTTTTTTTTTTTTGATTCGATAGATTTAACAAATGTTGTTATAATCCCTCATTGGATTAACCGTAATTGTAAATATAGAAATATTATTATTATTAATCTTATTGCCAAAATATCAAATTTTTTTTACAAATACATTTAATTTGAATGAATGAATGAATTTTTGTTTGATTTACTCTGCGTCAAGGTTTATTACATTTTTTTACTTTTACTTCGTAGGGCTGTAATATTCTTTTAAAATAATAATAATAATAATTATATAGGAATCATGTGACACTCAAGGTTTTATTAACAAAATTTGAAAATTGCGTTCCTTTTTTCATAAACAGTGGAAAGGAAAAAAAAAATAATTAAATAATAATAATAATTTTAAAATTTTTTTTTTTTTTTATGTTTACATAAAAAAAAAAAAAAAATTACTTTTTATTGTTAAAAACGAGTGTTAAATTTTTATTAATTTTTTTTTTTTTTTATGGTTTCCTTATATAATTTATTTATTTATCATTCGATAATAATAATAATAATAATAATAATAATAATAATAAAACGACAGTGAAATTGCTTTTACAAGAAAAAAAAAAATTAAAGATTCTCTCCTCAATTTTGTAATTTTTTTCTTTTTTTTTATTCATTTATTTTTACTTTCATTTTATGATTGTTTTTATTATTATTATTATTATTATTATTATTATTATTATTATTATTATTATTATTATTATTATTATTATTATCCTTCTTTTAGAAAGAATAAGGATAAAAAGAACGAGTACCTTTAAATATTTTTAAAAAAAAAAAATATTTTCAATTTCGTATCATCATCATTATTATTATTATTATTTTTTTTTTCACGTATAGATTTTAAATGTTAATAATCGGAAAATCGAGATATTCCCCCCCCCCCTCATATGAGTAATGCTCGTGGTAAATTTGATTACGTAAAAATTATTTTGAAAAAAAAAAAAAAAAAAAAATCACTCGTCTCCTCCCCCCAGGCACTGTCGAAAAGCATTCAAATTATTATTATTATTATTATTATTATTATTATTTAAAAAGATGAGCTCGAGTTTAAGTTTTAAATATATTGAATATTAATAATAATAATAAGTATCGTTATTAATTTTTCTTTTTTATTTTACTTAAAAATAAAGGAGTTGATCCATGTTGGTGCGTTTGATTCAATGGAATCGTGTTAAATGTTTGTGTTTGCGTGTGTGTGTGTGTGTGTGTGTGCGTGTGTGTCTGGTGTTGTGTGTGTGTATACTTAGAGAAACATAATAAGAAAATAAAAATTTTACGATTCAATTAAATAAATAATTTTTTTTTTTTTTACTTTTTGCTCTTGTTAAATGTTAATAATGTTTTCTTAAATTCATTTCATATTTTTTATTTATTTTTTTTTCTCTCTACAATATTTAATAATAATAAAATCGAAAATTTTTTTAAAAGGATTTTTTCCTCTTCTTCTTCTTCTTCTTCTTCTTCTTCTCTTTTTTATACTTGCATTATTAATAATTTAAAAAGAAAAAGAAAAATTTTCCAGACTTTCTTTTATAAAATGTTTTTCTTTTTTTTAGTGATGGTGGTTCGTATTATATAATTTTTTTCGCCTTAATTTTTTTCTTTAAATCTTGTAAAATGCTCCTCTTTTCTCTCTTTTTTTACTTTTTAATGCATTCTCCGTGTATAAGCTTTTAAAAAATTAAAAAAAAAAAAAAAATTAAAAATTGAAAAAAAATATCAAAAAAATTATTTAAAGGTATATAAAATATTTTATAACGAAATTTCTCCCTGTCCTCTTCGATTTTTTCTTTTCGAAAGAGAGAGAGAAAATTTTGACGAAGGGGAAGGAGGGTTTTCCAGTGGTTGTTGTTTGTCTTTTAAAAAGATTTAAAAAAAATTACGAATCATTTGTAAATAAAATAAAGGTTTTGGTAATGGGTAAAACCATGAGGGGAAATATATATTTGTCAAAGCGGCATTTAAAAAGGACACATGTTTCATTAAATTACTTATTGATTTTCATAAAATCTTTATCTAAAAGAGAAATAATATCTTTTCAATAATGATAATAATATTAAATTATTATTTAATTATTTATTACTTTATTGATTGATTTTGTTTGATTTAAAAATAAATTATGAAAATGAATGAATTTGACAATGTTAATTTATTATAACCAATTAAATTACAATGGCCGAAAAAAACAAAAAGTGGAAAAACAAACAATAAAAACTTCTTTAACTAGATTTCGTATAATATAAAATCATTCAATGATATGTACAGATATAATATCGTTCTCATTTCTATTACAATTCATTCTTTCACACAATTAAATTATCATTATTATTATTATTATTATGTATATATCAAATTATAAGTTTAGTAAAGGAATCATTAAAAACTCTTATGAAAAAATTATTAGTAATAAGTTATTAGTTATTGATGTTATCGACGTACATAATTGATATACTTATAATTTACTCACATAAAATAATAATAATAATAATAATAATATGGTTCGATTTAATAATTTTAAATGTACAAAAATTGTTGTTTATTTAAATTAATTAATTAAATTTCAGTATGTCACGGAGAAAATGGGGGGAGCGGAGGGAACGAAGTTGGACGTTGATTTTGTCGAAATGGAAAGGGTAAGTCGGTTTTTTATTATTATTATTATTATTATTTTTGAAAATTTTTGTTTTGATTCATGACCTTTTCCTCTTCTTCTTCTTCTTCTTCTTCTCAACGTATAAACGTTATTGATTTTAAAATGATAAATTTTTTATTTTAGAAAGCGGATGTTATTTACGAATTGGTAGAAGAACTTCAAGCGAAAGCGAAAGAATTTTTGCAACCTAATCCGACAGCAAGAGCGAAAATGGCCGCAGTCAAGGGAATATCGAAAATGAGCGGTCAAGCCAAAGCTCAAACGTATCCTCAACCCGAAGGAGTGTTGGGAGATTGTTTAACTTTATACGGGAAAAAATTAGGAGAAGATAGTATTTTTGGTGAGTTGAACAATTATAACGAAAAAACCGGATTTTCGGTGAGTTATGTCACCGAATTATGTGTTACCTTCAAATCGCCATTTTTTTTTTCCTCTTATTCAAGCCGTTAGAAGGTCAATCATACACAAAAATTGAACATTTATATATTTTGCTATTAATTTTTTTTTTTTTTTTTTTCTCCAGCTCAGTCCATGGTCGAAATGGGTGAATCAATGAAACAAATGGCGGATGCTAAATATTCATTGGATGATAACATTAAGCAAAACTTTTTAGAACCTTTGCATCATTTACAGACTAAAGATCTGAAAGAAGTTATGGTATGAGTGATTTTTAACTTGAGCTTTACTTAAACACTCATTTTTTTTTTTACTGCTTTATTTTTTTTTTGTAATTTTAGCTCTTGTTGGTTTAATAATTTTTAAATACGTTTATTAATTATAAGGGTAATCGTGGTGGTTTGGGGTGTGCGACCTTTGCCACCAATTAGTTAGTTTTTAGTTAAAGGCCGTTATTTCAGCCTTTGTGGTTGTTTCACGTCCTGAGACCATTTTTGCGACGATGTCTTGTGATTTGAAAGAATTTTTTTTTTTTTTCTTTTATTGAAAGTTTGAACTGAATACAAAACAATTGAAAATTTTTATTTTTATAAGTAATGGGATTTGAAATTAAGATTGAAATAAATTTAAAATGTTTAATAAAAAAAAAGAAAAATTATAATTTAACATTGAATTGATTTTTTGGTCGCTTTATTAATTTTATGTAAAAATTAATTAACAGCATCATCGGAAGAAGTTACAAGGAAGACGTTTAGATTTTGATTGCAAACGACGAAGACAAGCCAAAGGTACGATGATGTGAAAGGTTTATTTAAAAAATATTACGTACGATTAAAATGTTTTTTTTTGTAATTTCACGTCATGTTATTTATTTTAATTATTTAAAATTAATTTAAATAAAATATATGTATTTTAGAAGATGAAATAAAGCAAGCAGAAGAAAAATTTGCCGAATCTTTACACCTTGCTCAGATGGGAATGTTTAATTTATTCGAAAATGAAGTAGAACAAATTTCCCAATTGTGCACGTTTGCTGATGCTCTCTTGGAATACCACGAACAATGCGTAGTTATATTGAAGTCGATGACGGAAACGTTGCATGAAAAGTATTCATTTTTCTTTTTTCTCTTAACCGAAAAAAAAAAAAAAATGAAATGATTATGTTCGTTCGTTCCGTGTAATTTTTTTTTTGTCTCTATTTTGCAGAAGAGAAGAAGCTGTCAACAGACCAAAACCAGAGTTTGTACCCAAAACACTCGCTGATTTACACATTGAAGGAATTTCCGATGGAATATCTAGTAATAGTGAAAAAAAAATGAATGGGAAAGAAAACGTAAAAAGTCATAAAAATTTTAATTAACAAAAAAAAATTTTTTTTTTTTTGTTTTCAGGCACATCAACGCCTGTGCATTCGAAACCTTCTCATTTGGAACTTTTCCCATCTGGAAATCACGGTGGAAATGCAAACGGTATTGTCTCTTTATATATTTTCCGTATTTACATATCAACATTCGTACCTAATCTGAAATAAAATTTAAATTCCAGCATCTCCTTTAGCATCACCGATGAAAAATTCTCCAGCTAAAACACCCGTCGTTCATCAAACACAAAATAAAACGCCTTCTTGTACTGCTCTGTACGATTTCGAACCGGAAAATCCTGGAGAATTGGGTTTTAAGGTATAATCGAAAAAAAAAAAAAATGTTTTTTTATCATAATTTTTTGCAATCGTTGTTGTTATTATTATTATTATTATTATTATTATTATTATTACAGGAAGGTGACAATATCACTTTACTAAGTAAAATCGATGAGAATTGGTTCGAAGGTACGGTTAATGGAAAAACTGGATATTTTCCCGTTTCATACGTTCAAGTAACCGTTCCTTTACCGTAATTTATACGTGCCGAGCACGTGAGTTAATTTAATTTAACTTATTGAAAAATAATTTATTAAATAATTTGGAAAATTATTTATTTAAAAAACTCCATTTTCTTTTTTTTTAGAACTTAGAAGTCAGTCAGCCAGTAAGAAGTCGAACAGCTTAGTATCATCGTTTTTTTTTTTTTTTTTATTTTTAATGAAATTTTTCCTTTTTTTTTCTCTCTCTCTCTCTCTCTTTCGGTTTCGTCCTCAAATGTATTTATTTTCTTTTTTTTGTTAATTATTATTATTAATAATCATCGATCATCGATTAACATATTTTTAACGTTTGGGACGTTTTTTAAATGACAATAATTTTTGTAAAGTATAATTGTATACCCAAAAAAAAAAAAAAAAAAAATTAATAATAATATGTATGATTTAATAAAAAAAAAAAAAAAAAAATATATTTAAAAAATCCTCAGTGGAAATCTTATTATTTGCTTTAAAGTTATTCGAAAATTTAAATTGGAGTATAATGAAAAGTATTTTTTCGAGAAGAATCTCATTTTAATTAAAATAAATAAATAAATAATGTAATTAAATAATTTATTTAAATAAGGCTCAATTATTTTTATTAGCCAAAGGAAAATATAGAACAAAATGTTGTATAATAATTTGTTAATGTAAATTGTTTAAATGAATTTTTTTTTTTTTTTTGCTTTAATAATAATAATAACAGGAGTTACCACGGAAAAAGTTTAAAAAATAATAATAATAAACAATTTTTTTTTTTTTTTTATTGTTTAATACGTCATAAATTGTAAATAATTTGTTGTTATTATTTTTTTTACACTCTTCTGCTTTAATTTATTATTTGAAAAAAAATGTGACTTAAAAAATTTAAAATTTTCCCACGCTTGAATATCCGTCACTTCAAGTACATAATCCAAAATAAATTTAGCTTATTCATAAACTTTATAATAATAATAATAATAATTAAAGTATTTTAAAGTAGTATTTTATTATCGTTTGTTTGTTTGTTTGTTTGTTTTTTATTTAAGAAAATTTTGAGTGCCATTTTATATGCTCAAAAAAATTTAATTTTTTTATTTATTTTTTTTTGTATTAGCGAATTTCCCCCTACCCCCCCCCCCTACTTTTTTTTATTTATATTTTTGCACAAAAATCATTGTAATTAATTTGTACTAATTATTTTTAATTATAAATTTATGTTATATATACTCAAGATACTTATTATTATTATTATTTTTTATTTATGAGCACTTGAATAAATTTTTAATATATGTATGTAAAATTTGAAAAAAAAAAAAAAAACCATATTGCTTATGTAAATAAATTTTCATTTTTTTTTTTTTTTTTTAATTTTTTAAATAATTGAAATGCGTTACTTATTTATAAATAATAATTAATAATCATTATTATTATTTTTTTTAATGCTTTTTAGATGAGTTTGCATGGACCTAACTAAACAATTAATTTTTTTTTTTTATCGAACAAATCTCGATTTATGTGGTGGGGCCCCCCTCGATTTAAAACACCTGTAATCGATAAAATCTTACGTTTATCTGTTACCCCAATAGATAATAATAATAATAATAATACCGATCGGTTTAAATCTGAATGAAAAACATTCGCTGAATGAATAACACATGTGACTGACATTCATTCCACATGAAAATTACATAATAATAATAGTTTAACGACACTAAATGTCGCATGCAATGAAACAATTATTATTATTATTATTATCATTATCATTATTGAAAATATTATTTAAAATCGTTAATGTGTAAAAATGTATTTTAATAATACTCCATATAAATATTATTATTATTATTATTAATTACCGTTTACGTAAAAAAAAGAAATGTATTATTTTGTATTATTTATTTATTCACTCATAATAATAATAATAATTTTAATTATTATATTTATGTAAAGTAAAGTAAAAAAAAACATCAGACAAAAATTAATAAGGTATTATTATTATTATTAACACGGCTAAGATTTCCACTTATAAAAAAATAAATAAATGATTGCCTTGAGATTCATAAATAATCCATATTAAATAATCATTTATTATGCAATTAAATAATAATAATAATTATTAATAAATAAATGAGAATCTCTTAATTAATAATATATATAAATAAAATATTTATCGTTTACGGTGTTGTAGTTAAACAAAAAAAAAAAGAAAACTTTTCTAATGTTTAAAGAAAAGAAAATGTTTTAATGTTTTTATGTTGTTTTATTATTATTATTATTAATAAGTATCCCATTCGGATATATTTGAAATGTTATTTATGTTTAAGTGTTAAATGGATTACTTAACCCAAAAATTTATTAAAAAAAAAAAAAAAAAGGAAAGTAATTTTAAATAAATGAAACAAACAATAACAACAACAACAACAACAAAAGCTTTCTGCTTTGTTATCATTCGATTGAAAACAAAAAAAAAAATTTATGATAAAACCGCTACAGATTTGTTGTTGTTTTGAAACATTTTAACAAACATAATCAAAAAAAACATTAATGTCATAAATTATAAACAAAATCGCTTCGTTTATTTATTTATTTATTGTTATACGATTAATTCATTAAATTATTTAAAATATGACGTCATAATTAATACGTCATATTGTGGGAAAACATAAAAATTTAATTTTTTTTCTTTTATGCCAAAATACGATCTGATGCCATTTTGTTTTTTTTAATAATTTAAATTCTATCTTTTTAATAATATTAACGGCTCAAAAATATTATTATTATTATTATAACGACTACCACCTTCCGTTAAATAATAATAATAATAATAAATTAATTAACTTAATGACGTGGCGTCGTTTTGTTTTTTTTTTTTTTCATGTATCTATTAATATTTATTTATTTATTAACGACAGTCTGTGGCTGGTGAATAAAATTAATAATAATAATAATTAAAATGACGTTGAATTAAATAAGTATTATTATTATTATTATTTTTTAATTGTATATTAAATTTAATATAAAAAAAAAGTTTTTTTTTCATGCGTAAAAATTGTTATAGTTGTAGCTTTTTTCTTCTCGTTATTATTATTATTATTATTATTATTATTATTATTATTACCGAATAAATGTTTCTGCAATGTTGTTTAAATAAATAAATAAAAATTATTGTTAATTAATATTAAAATAATTATTATATAAAATCCGCTTTAATATTTATTATTATTATTATTTAAAAAAAAAAAAAATGTTATTCGGAAAGCCTTTTCAAAAAAAAAAAAACGATTCCTTTTTATGTGTTTATATTAAATGTAGTTTCTCGTTTATTGTGATAAAATTTGTGAAATTAACTCACCTACACGCGCGTGCACACCTACACACGTGTGTGTATGCGTGTATATTACGTTTAAGTATATATATTTATACAGATATTAAATGCTATTCATATTATTTATAAAATTCTTTTTTTTTCCTTGTACTTATCATCATCATCATTAACTTCTTTTTTTAAACAAATGTTAATAATGACGTAATGTAGAATGCGATTGACCGTGGATAAAAAGAAAAAATTTTTTTTAAGGTACTCATGCCGTTAGTAATAATAATAATAATAATAATAATAATAAGTGATGATAAATGTATACGACGATGTAATAAGTTATGCATGTGCCTTTTTTAGTTCAATGTAACAGCCTCGGGCTTTAATATTTTCCTACAATATTCAGAGGCGTATTAAGAATATCAACAACGGATTAATAATAAAAAAAAAAAAAAAACCGCCAACAACATTTTGATGTTGTCACAAAATTTTGTTGTTGTTGTTCACTACTTTATTTGGATATTAAATTTAATAATCATTGGTTAAACATGGGTACCTCGCATCGTTTTAATTGATTTCTTGTACCTGCTCGTTTCTATAAATTTTTCTCTCTTTCTGTTACGCTTATGTTTAACTTATTGTAAAATCAAATAGGGATCGGCAACGGCTTTTATTTAAAAAAAAAATAACACAAAAAATCAGGTATGCACTATTTTTTTTTTTTTTTTTTTTTTTTATTCTACTCGTTCGTTCGTTCGGGTACCTTTTTTTTATTCTCTTAAGCTAAACATTAATTAATAATAAACATTCATGCCAATAGAGAGGGCGAGTGTTGAGGTGGTACTACTCGGTAGAACCTGACTAGCGGAATGTATTGCCCTTTAGTTAAGTTAATAACATTTTTTTATAAATAATTTTTTTTTGTTGATATTTTCGTTATTTTTTAATTATTTATTTTTTTTTTATTTACGAAACGTAAGTAATAATAATAATAATAATAATAATAATAGGATTGCGTTCGTCACGTTGTTACAAAAATCTTTCATTTTACGTTTATTGTTTTTTATTTTTACGTGAATCCTCTTCTTACGCTTTTGTTTTCGTTTACTTAACCAACAAATCACCTTCTATATAATTATTATTATTATTATTATTATTTTCTTATTAACCAAATTTTCATTAAATTATCCTATATTTTTCCACCAAAATAATAATAATAATAATAATTTTTTTTTTATTTAATGTTGTATAAAATACCTTGAAAGGCGGGGTTGATCCTGTTTGTATTTATGTGACGTTTTTTTTTTTTTTTTTTTTAAATTTTATTTAACCTATTAAAATGTAGATTTAATACCTTGTTTTATTATCATTATCATTATTATTATTATTTTAAACGAATCAAAATTTTTTAATAATTTATTTTAATTACACGTAAATATGTGTTTGTAAACATCACAAAACGCACGAATAAAAATTTTTAATGTTTTGTGTTTGTGTTCTGGTTGTTGTTGTTGTTTCATTAAAAAGTTGTTTGCAATTAATATTAAATAATACTTATAGATTTTTATTTTAAAAAATTTAAATTCGTTATTTACTGGATAATAATAATAATAATACATAATAATAATTCTGGACAATCGATACTGGTTTTAAAATTTTTTTAATAATTTATTAACAACGTGCGTGTTTATGCATGTAAAAATGCGTGTGCGTGTGCGTGTGTGTTTTTTTTATTGTTGTTATTTATTTATTTATAAATAATCGTAAGAAAATGTCGTTTCATAAAATTATTTTTTTAATTTTTTTTTTTTTTTTTTTAGATTGTAATGAATAGGAAAAGTGTAAAATTAAAAAAATGTTAACGAGGTGAATTTATTTTTTTTTAATTCACCTTTTAAAAAAAAATGTTAAAACATATTTCCATGGGAAACGGGATGAATGGTAGTAATTCTGGAGAAAGGACCAACCATTCCGTAGACTCGTATTCATCAGAAAGAAATTTAGAAGGAAGTCATTTAGATAGAACATTTATTGACAGATCGCAAAATTCAAATCATTTGGATAGGAGCAATCACGTGGTTTGTTCGAGTGGACCTTATTTAATTAACGGTCATATACCCGTGGGTGACGGTATGGGGCCTAGAATACCAAACGGACACATACACACTCCACAATCCTCGCAACCTTTGAACGTGAGCGCGCAAAGGATAAATCATACTCATGCACTCAGCACGTTAAGCACATCCAAGCATTCACTCGGGGGTGGAACGTCGAGTAGCGTGAGCCCCGTCGTCGGTACTCACAGCACTGGTATCGGTCCTGCTCCGACCCTTAAGGTAGCCAACGGAGGTATTAATATTTCACGTCCGACCAATACGAGCCTATCGAGGTCTCCAAACGGAAGTATACTCCTTCCTTCGAACATAACCAACTTCATATCCAAGAGTAAAGAGGCTGGAGTTAAGGAAATGCTCACTTCGTTGGGTCTTTTATGTTTAGTTTCCCTTTTATTTGCACTTCTTTCGTTAATATTTCTATTAAAGATAACACCCGTGTCATCGGGTGAAATAAAAGACTTTTTAAGAACCGAACAACTGACAATAATATCACCCGAAGAATATGTTATAGTGTACGAAATCACTCTCGCGTTGTGTTCTCTTACGTTAAGTTTGAATTTGTGTTGTTTGCTCGTGTGTTCCGTACAATTTCTCTTCGCTGTGAAATTAGTCAAAGCCTCGGAAAATGGAGAAAGAACTAATAAATATTTACAAAAAAGCAATACGACAAGAATATGTGCAGTGGGTGGTTTTTTTATATCGATTCCAGTTTTTTTAACAGGTAAGCCAACATACAAAATTTTTCCACGCTTTTTTCCAATTTTTTTTTATTTTTTTATTTTAATTCGTTTCCAATTGAAAAAAATTTTCACTTTTTTCTTTTTTTTTTCTTTGACATTTGACCGGTATTACCTTTACAATTTTTATGAAAATTGATTGAAAATTATATTTCATAACTTCCTTTATCACGTGTAATAATTGATTTCACAAAATTATTTATTATTACTTATGTAAAATTTTTAATAAAACAAAATACTGTGAAAATTCAGTCGTGCAAAAATAATTTTTTAATAAAATTACTATTATTTACAATGAACGGTAAATAATAATAATAATAGGTTATTATTATTATTATTATTTACATGGTTAATAATTTTTTTGTTTTTGTTTTGTTTTACTTAATAAGATTTGATTAAAAAACAATTAACAATGAAAAATGTTTTTTTTTTTTAAAATAATTATTTTAAATAAAATTAAAATTTTTTATTTTAATGTTTTGATTGTTGTTCTGGTTGTTGTTGTTGTTGTTTTGTACTTTAATAACTTTGTTTATCATAAGTAAAACAATCAACCGTATTAAAAAAAAAAAAAAATTTACATTGTTTCACTTGGCTACAACATTTTTTTTTTTTTTTATGGGAGAAAAGTTTTGTTGCTCAAATTTATTAATCGTCTTTATAAAAAAAATTTAAAAAATTTGAAAAATTTTTTATAACAACAACAACAAATTATTATTATTATTTTAAATAAATAAATAAAATAGATATTGATAAATTTTGTGGTAAAAAACCAATTATTGATTACGAGTGTCAAAATTAGAAAATTCCCATACAGTTTAATTTTATTGTGTCAATCGATAAAAAAGATACAAAACTTATTAATTAATTAATTTACTTATTAACTTATTAATTTATTTATTTTTTTTAGGAATAATATTGTACACATTTATACAATTTCATTCGACGCCGGCAATAATAACAAGTTCTCTTATCGGAGCTGGAATCGTTTTTTGCGGTTGCGCCATGGTACACAACGTCTTAATCTGGCAAATAGTAAGTTAAATAAAATATTTTTTATATCATTATTATTATTATTATTATCAATTATAATAATAAAATGGATATTCGAGTGATAACGTAAATAACTTATTCCATCGCGATACAATTACGCAGGAAAAGACAAACGCGGTGAGAGCTTTGGCAAGACAAACGCAATCCGCGAGATTAGCAGCAACATCCGGTATGAATTTAACGAGGACGACTCCAGAAGAATTTTTAAACGGTGGACAATTTTCCAAAATAAAAGATCATCACAGCATTCACAGTTCTGGAATTCCACAAGCGACGATGGATCTCAGCGGAGTAGCACACGAATTATCAACTCTAGTTTAACAAAAAAAATTGCCATTTAATTTTTAATCTCTCGACAAATAAATTTTACATCGAAATTCGTTATTATTATTATTATCATTAATATTATTCGAATGTCTATATATAATCTCAAGAGAATTTAAATTTTAAATAACTACAACTAAAGAGCAAAAAAAAAAAAAAAACCGTTAGTAAACTCATATAAATTAAACTCGTTCGATAGTAAAAAATTTAACTCTTCACTCACGGTATTAATTAAAATTATTATTATTATTAATTCTGTGAGAACATTTTTAATATTATTTTACAATGGAAAAAAATTTTACAATTACGTAACAGGTATACAAATAATAATAATAATATATTTTTGCTCATTTTTTTTTTAAAAAAATTTTATTTATTTATTTTTTACCACAAGTATTTTTTTTTTTGTAATGTAAATTTATTTAATTAAATATTATATTTACCTGGAACGTGATGATAATTTTTTTTTTTTTGTTAAAATCGTGTTTGTCTGTTGTAACAAACAAGCAAACAAACAAAAAAAAAATGGTGTTTTGCATAAACTAATAATAAAATTTAAAAAAAAAATATGTAAGAAAAAAATTGTAAGAAAAAAATTATTCAAAGTGTATACGTTGTTGGTTGTTTCCCCCACTCCACCCCCACCCCCCATTCAAAAAAATATAATTTTAAATTTTATTGTTGTAAAATTTATCACACAAACAAACAAACAATAATTAAAATTATTTTTAAATAATGTTTGTGTTTATCCACCATCTCTTTGTAAAAAAACTTTGTTATTATTTTGTGCGTCTTCCACATTTATTAAACATAATTTTTTGTTTTAATTAATAATCAATAAATTATACACATCGGTAAGTAAAATAATAATAATAATAATAGTAAGGGTATTAAATAAGTTACAACAATTTGTAGAAAAAAAAATAATTTACACTTACGATGGATGTGTTAATATATTTATTTTCGAAGAAGGAACTTATTATTAATTCGTGTAAATAAGACTAATTATTTTGTGACGTAATCAACAACCAACCAAATTTGTTATCTAACAAATAATAATGATAGAAAAATAATCTAAAGTTGTTGATGATAATAAAAAATTCTTCTTCTTACTACGGTTCATTGCATTTATATGTTTTCGGGTGTTTGTCTGTTTGTTTGTTTTTCTTTTTTTTTATTTGTTTTCTATTTTCGAAGCTTGTAAATTCGTTTTTAATCGGCATACATTTTACGAACCTGTTGGAAAACATTACAAGGTAATTTATTATTATTATGTTTTTTTTTCATTAAGCCCTGCTCCTTATTATTATTTATTATTAATTTATGTTTAACCAATAAATAATTTTATGTTTATCTAAATATTTTATCGATAACAACCAAATGTTTATGAAAACAAAATAAAATCCGCAAAGTCGGTCGATCGGTTGGTTGTTTGGTTGGTTGCTCCTTACAAAATTTATAAGACAAATATAATAAAAAAAAAATTTTTTTTAAAGCTCCAAATCGGTTTATTTGTTTTGTTGTTGTTGTTGTTTTATAACAAACAATAGGTTAAGCTTTTAAAACAACAACAACAACAACAACAAGATACACTAAATAACCATAAAAATTTATTTTAAAAAATAAATTTAATTATCATCGATCTATCACGTATTACAAATTTTTTTATTGAAAAAACATTATCGATTGATTATTATTATCATTATTATTATGTATCTATTGTTTTATTTACAAAAAAAAGGGAAAAAAATTTTATTTGAACAAAATCAATTAATAATTTTTAATTTCTAACATATTTACGAAAACAAAATCAAAATTTTATGTTGTTTATCTTTTCTAACGTTTTTTTAAAAATATTTTTTACCTGAACAAAAAAATTTTTAAGAATGGGATTTATGTGCGTGTGTGCGTGTGCGTGTGCGTTTCACTTATTCGTTATAATAACACACGTGGTGTTAACTCGTTAATTAATTTTTTGTTTTTATTATGGTAGAATCACTAAAATTTACTTCCAGTATTTAATGATTTCTACCTGAACGACACAATTCATTATTATTATTATTATTATCATTATTATTATTAAGGTTGTTACCGATAATAATTGATAAATAATATTAAAATTTGGCCAGTGGAACCAGTGGGATTGTCTTTTATTTAAATATTATTAAAATTCTTTTTTTTTAATGTTATCCATATGTGACGTGAAAAATCAAATTTAAAAAAATAATAATAAATTTTATTATTATTATTATTATTATTATTATTATTATTATTATTATTATTTAAAAAAAGAGTAAAATGACGAAAGATTTATGTTTATGACCTTGAATATTAGGTAGAAGCACGAGTTGAGCATAACTTCTTTAGGCAGTTAATGTTATTGACAACAGTGAGTAAGAAGTACGTTGATAGTTTTTTTTTTTCTTTTTTTTTTTATAAAATATTTAAATAATTATTATTATTACGATATCAATAACCCGAATATAATATATTCATTTGTTTATTTAATTATTTACTTATTTTTTTGTTTAATAAACCGTAATAATAATAATAATAGTAGAGTTAAAATATTAGTAGATGTGTTTAAAAAAAATAAAATTTTTTTTGTAAAGGGGATTGACATTTGAAACATTATTATTATTATTAGTTTTAAAAATCGTAATTATTATTATTATCAAATAAAATCAATGAATTTTCTATTTAAATTTTATTAAAAATAATAATAATAATAATAAATTTTTTATTTTTTAGGTTTCACCGATGGATTAAAAAAAAAAAATTTATTATACAAAAACGATGGCGCAAAAATTTAAGGTAAATAATTTTAAAACATGGAGATGGGGGTCACGTGTTTAAATTTAGAATTTAATAATATGTAATCCTGGATTTTCATGAGGGGGGGGGAAGGGAAAAAACTCGTTTGATAAATTAATAAAAAAATTTTTTCTTTTTTTTTTTTAAAGGGGAGCGGTAAAGTTTTAGACATACCATTTTTAGATGATTCCTGTGGGGTTATGGCAAATGGCGTAGCCATAGGTAGGCCGGCGACCCCTCCAATAATAAGAATAACAATTCCAGAATCGGATGTTTACGAACATCCGCGTGGAGTGACCTCCAAAGGTTTGTTGACAGTTAATAATAATGTGAATCCATCTTTGTTTTTTTTTTTTTTTCTTTTCGAATTTTCTTTTTATTTTTTTAGTTTAATTTTTAGGATTTTAATTTTAGTCGTACAAGAAGAAAAAACCGAAGGGGTTAATAAAAATATCGATGGTGTAAATAATTTAAACGATGATGATAAACAAACAACAACAACAACTGAAAAAAATGAAGATTCTACCGATGGTGGTTTTAATGTTCCTCTTTCAAACAAACATAGAAAAAATTCTATTTCACTTCCGGCTGCACTAGACAATTTGGACATTCAGGTTTGTCTGTTTTTTCTTTATATTTTTCAATTATTATTATTATTATTATTATAAATTTATCATATTATAATTTTATATGAAAAAAAAAATTGATTTTGACGGTTAAAAAAAAAAAAAAAAAAAAAAAAAATTATTTTTTTTTCCATTTTTAAGAAAATCATAATCTTAAAAAACTTAATTTAATCATGTTTTGCATACGTATAAACATGTTCTTTTTATTTTTGTTTTTTTTTCGAAGAAGTATATGACAGAGTGAGACAACCATTTTACACAATTAAGCAATTGTAAAAATTAAGTAAATAGAAGTTTGTGATGATCAAACAGTTTATTGCAATCTTTGTCTCGTTTTTTTCGCGTTTAAATATCAGTTTTTTTGTTTTAAATAATTTTTTATTTATGTAAAAAAATGGATTACAAAATAGAAAATGATGATGATCTTGAAATTGATGTCGATGATCAGCTTTCACAGGTTGCACAGCAAGAAAAATTCTCGTTTGGATAAATAAAAAGAAAATTAATTTTATTATTTTTTTTAAGGTGTTATCAGATAATGTTAATGGTGATACGGATGATACATTTAGCGATGCTGACGAATCTGATGTTGAAGAAGTGAAGTGAGTAAAAAAAAAAATTCATTTCAAATTTCAAGGGTTAAAAATTTTTTTTTTTTTTGCGAATAAATTGTTTTCTTAAATTTTTATGGAAGGGTTCCATTGAGATCTGCTAGAAAAAAATCCGTTATGCCTTTAAAAGCTCCCATAATGAATTTAGACGTTCCAGATCATTCTCATGAAAATTCCATAACGTCTCTAAATAGTATATCCAGTTTGTTGAAAGAAAAACTTAGCATGGTATGAAATAAAAAAATTTTTCTCTTTTAAAGTAACGTATGAGCATTAATGTAATAATTTTTTTTTTTTTTTTCAGGTACCTTTTCCAAGTTTATTAAAACCAAAACGAAAACCTAAAAATTACAAACTAAAAGCTTTTGTTTGTATTTTGTTTTTAAGTATAATTTTTTTGGTAGGATTTGCTTATGTCTTTTACCATCAACAAGTATTACAAGTATGTGGAAATTTAACAAAAATAAAAAAAAAAAAAAACTTTTTTTGTATTGCCTAAAATAATAATAATAATAATAAATTTTCAGAGAGCTTATTTTGAACGAATACGATTTAATAAAGAAGAAAAAATTGTTAGAGTTTATGATAACGATGGTAACGATCTTTTATCAGGATATTTGGGAACAACAATAAATAGTAATTTAGTATTTAGATGTTTGAAAGAGCATGAATTTGATGATGGAAGTGTTTGCATGGAATGGATGCACAGGTGATTATGCGAGACAAGAGTTATAAAAGTTTAAAAGAAAGCATAGAAATAAAATTAAATTTTTTTAGAGCAAGACTTTACTTGAGATTTAGAAATTCACATCCAGGGGTTAGATGCTATCAAATAACTTGGGAAAGTTTAAATTTTTTTGTGAATCCAACCGATTGTTTTGATTGGAGTAGAGGAGGTCATTGGTACGGTGGTGGTCAAGTACAAAACATGACTTGGCCAGCAGAATTGGGAAATATAAAATTATCACCTTTTATTACCGGCGACACAACTCATCAACAATGGGGAAACGTTCTTCAAAGATATTTTTTAAATTCAAAAGGTATTATGATTGGTATTATGTAGGACAAATTTAACAAAAAAAAGGTTCCAGGTATACTTTTTATTGTTTTTACAGGTGTATCGATATCCGTTGATCATGAAACTCCATTGTACATAGCTTTAGATAATTTTAATGGTGAAAAAAGGTTTTGTCTTCAAGCAAGATATGATAATTTTGTCTACTTTTATCATAATACTGCTTTACCTGTTTTGAATTATAGTATTTGTACATCGAATAATATAAAAATTCTTCACGGATATATGTCTGAAAAAAGTCTTTGGGATGGACTTAAAGTATTTTTTCAATTTTTTTCCGTACCTGATAAGTTAAATATCGTAATTAAACTACATTTTTTTTGATTTCAGGAGAAAGATATCGAAACCATTTATTCTCTTTTAACTGAACCTGTTTGGCAAATAGGACTGGATAATGCTGAACATTTAACGGAATCGACAGTTTATAATTATACAGAAGATGTTATAGCATTAGCCTTTTTAAGACAGGGACACGTTCTCATAAACGAGATGTGGCAAAAAAATATTGGTAAAAATTATATATTTTTGAAATTGTAATTTTTGTTTTACTTATTGTTTAAATAAATTTTATTATTTTTCAGGAGATTTTACTATGGACGAACAAAGATTTCCAACAATGGCAGATACAATAAAAATACTTCAGAGAAGAGGATTTAAAATTGTTTTATCAATTCAACCGTTTATATCAACGGAAAGTCATAATTTTAAATTAGCTATGAAAGAAAAACTTTTGGTATCTGAGAGAAGTAACGAAAATATTCCAGCTCTCACAAGGTAAGTAAAAAAAAAATTAAATTTTTTTAGCACTGATACCTTTTAAAAAAATTTTATTAAAAACAGGTATAAAGGATTAGAAAGCGCAGGAATGATAGATATAACAAATAATCAAACGATTCCTTGGATTCAAGAACGTCTTATCGCTGTCGTTAAAAAATATAACATAAATTCTTTTTATCTCGATTTGGGGTCGACATATAACATGCCTCACTTTTACAGGTATTTTATGTCATTATTCGCATTGTTTCATCAACTTTTGCAGATTGATATAATAAAATTTTCATAATTTATAGATTTGAAAAAAAACTAGTCAATCCTGATCAATATAAAACTCTTTTTACGGAAAATGTACTACAACTTGTCGAAGTGATTGGCGTGTCATCAGCCGTTCAAAGACCCAAACCACCTGTTTTTGTTAGTTTACCACCTCTTTCAAGTACCTGGGAAAGTTTAACATTAATCATACCTATTGTAAATACTCGTCTTGTATTTGAATAAGGTACATTTTAACTAAAAGAAATATATTATTAACGTAAATTTAAATTTTTTCAGGTTCTCACGTATGGAATTATTGGTTATCCTTTTATAATGCCAGGACCAGTTGGAGGCAGCTTTTATAGTGAGACAACATTAACTAATTACACATACATATACATAAAGTCTGTGGAAAATGCTTTACTACAAAAGTCAATCAATTCAAAAATTAATAAAACGACTACCGATTTACCTATTGTAAACACACCAGAAGAAGAGAAGAAAAATGCAATTGAAAAAACATTGATAGATGTACAAGTAGAAAAAGATGTTAATCTAAAAGAAGATAATTCCTCTCAAGTTCCAAAAAAAATTGAAACGAAGGAAAGTGATCCGGCTGTTGAGACGACTAATGTTTTTTCGACAAATTACGAAAATTTTTTTAATAAAAATGTAAGCCCTGCGTCAGCAGTTGATTTGGTTAAAAACATAAGTAATGTAAAAAATAATGTTTTGGAAAAGGCATCCGAAACATTTCCAGGTAATAGCAATGAATAATGGATTAAAATTTTTCGACAAAGTTATTTACAATTTTATTTAATTTTTAGGAGATGTGATGATTAGCGATCAAGCCAGTGAATTTATATTTCTGCCTGACAAAGAGCTTTATATTAGATGGCTTCAATTGGCAACTTTTCTACCAGTCATTAGATTTACTTATTTGCCTAGCAAATACAAAGATGAATCTGTTTTAGAAATAGCTAAAATTCTCACTCATTTAAGAGTTAAAATTGTATGTTTAATGTAAATTTTCTATGGTCTCTTTTCACTTAAATATTTCAGTACTATAAAAATGATGTTTAATAGGTAAACCCACTTCTAAAAAAATATGCAAAAGATGCATTAGATTCTGGCCTTCCAATCATACGTCCTTTGTGGATGCTAGATCCTTCAGATCCAACTTGTCATACTGTAGTCGATGAATTTTCAGTAGGAGAAGAACTTATAGTTGCACCAGTTATACATGAAGCTACAACAGAAAGAGAAGTATATTTACCTGCAGGAGTTTGGAAGGTACTGTTTATTAAAATTTTCTAACTTGTGAAAAATTAATGCGTTTTTAAAAAACAGAGCCACTACAATGATTTTGTTTCAGGATGGCATTGATGGTAGCTTAAGAAAAGGTAGCAGATGGATACATAAATATAAAGTAATGCAGAATAAAGTAGCTTATTTTGTCAAAATGCCAGATAATACAAGATTTTAAAAGAAATAGTGGAAAATTTCGAGAAAAAAACCAACAATTATTCTATAAAAAAATTTTTAGAAAAATAGATGCTAGAACAATTAAATTAATTTATTTTTGTAAAAATGAACACAAAACATAGATATAGACATATTTACTTTTAATTATAAATTTATTTATAAAATATCAGGTTAAAATTGGTTTAACCTTATCCTTTCAACAAGTCCTAATTAAAAACTTAATGGCCTAATTTCTTTTCAATCTGTCGACAAAATAAAACGTGGCAAAAGGAATTATTTTTCTTTATTTCTTTCTCCGAAACAACAAGTAATAAAAAGCGGTGGAATTGTTATTTTGGATCATTATATATATTTATTATTTCTTAATGGGCCGCGTTTAGTGAAGTTATCGTGATTTTGAATTCATTAAATATTTTTCCGATTATAATTGTTTAATTTAAATGTTTTATTTTTTAAAAATGTTTTAATTTTTTGTTAATGAACCTACAGTAAATATGAAATTCCTCATTTAAAAAAAAGATGGCCGCTTCTGTTTAGTGACGTCAAGTACTTTTGCGACTAATTATTATGGTTTAATTTTTAAATTTTCTAAAAATTCTTTTTGTTACGTCGGTTTTTATAAAGTGATTTTTAAATTTTATTAATTATTTATATGCAGTGCTAAAGCTCGTTTTGTTACATTTATGGTATTAAGGTGTGCTCAAATCAATTTAAAAGGTAATTTTGCTTCAATGTTTCGCCTATGCCCCTAAACTCATTATTTACTATTTAGAAATCAAATTTTTTTTTTTTAAATTTGTAAAAGTTAAGCAAAACTTTTTTTTCTGATACAGTTTCTTTTGTTTAATTTCACATTCACTCTCAAAAACCTT